AATAATGTCTAAAATTTTTACCAGTTATAATCCTAGTGGTATAGACATATATTATGCAGAAAACTCAATTTTGGTCTAGAGGCCTTATACACGGTTTTTGCTAGAAAACCCCCCATATATATAGTTCATTTAGGAATTCACGACCCAAAATTTAAAAAAAACTTTGAACCTTCAAATTTGTGATATCTTTTTATCACGCATTTATAATCCTTTGTATTTATATCATCATAATCGATCGCAAGTAAATTATATTTACTTGGAACGGGCAAGAGTGACTGTTTTTAATGAACCTGGATTCTTGATATTAACCCAATAGGAAAATAATGATTTAACATCGTCTACTACTACCGATACTATTACATTGCTTTCTATTATTATGAGTGCACGGGTGCGGCAAGCAGAAAATGATCGAGAAATTGACAAAAAAAAGATTTACATTGTTTGAAATTAGTAATAGTATTTTCATAACTTTAAAGGACAATATCCCAAAAAAATTACTAAGCCAAGTGAGTATGGTTTCTAAGCTAAAAATGCCCTTCAGGGTAGATTGCGCCCATATGCATTTATGTATTTATACATTTAAAACAGGAAAATAGTGGAATAAATAAACTGAAAATAAATCTTTTCTCGACCATTGCTGTTCTTTAACCTTCAGAATTTAACTCAACGGTGAATCCAAAGAAGATTTAGATGAAGAAAATGTTGATTTCAATCTAGAGAACATTGAAAAACTCTGGTCACCACTTTCTTCGCTTCATTTTACTGCTAAATTGTCATTTATTGGAGGAATTAAATATATACGAGATTTTTTAAGTATTATATAAATTATTTGGCCTTTCTCATGATGCCTTTATCATTGAATTTATCTTTTGTAAGTATACTTGGGGCACTGGCATCAACAATTGTATTAAAAGATCCTCATCCATATACTGGTTTCGCATATAGTGAATGGAAGCAAATAATATAAAATCAATTATAGGTTATCAGATAATATATAAATATTTTTTATATTAAATAGATTATTTTTACATGCGTACATATATACATTTTTATATTTTTATATTATTAATTGTTATTAGCTTGATTGATTGATTTTTTATTTTAATGAAAAATATTCAGATCAGTTCAACCAGTTCTATTCATATCTGACACTAAAATCATTGGCACCATTATTAATGTATTCCAATGCATCAGGAATTCGGCTTTATTATTTTACAAAGAGAGTGAAGAAAAAACAAATTGTCAGTAATTGTGCAATCAATTGTAATAATAATATTTTATTTTACTGTTAATACTTACTTGAAGAAATGTTCTTTGCCAACTTTCTCTATGATTCCTGCACCTTCAAACATTTTCTTTTGATTAGAACGTAATTTCACAAAATAAACATTTACATCACGAAGATGATATGCCTCCACTATTTCAAAAAGAATTTGTACAGCACTAAATAAATATGTATATATTACGTATATATTAATTAGTAATGCATTTTTATAATTTTTTTTAATAATTTAATAATTTAATGTTAACCTGGCATCAATCCCTTCCATCGTTTCAATATCAAATATCACATTTCTAACAGGTGACATTCTTGCATCTTCTGATGGATGAACACTCATGTCTCCGAATTCTTCTAGACGTCTAAGACGATCTTTAAGTTGTCCAGTATTAGCAAAATATAAAGGTTCGGATATTTTAATCACTAAAACTCCTTCAACATGTTCTGCCTGATCTGGAAAATCTTTAATCGGTTTAAATTTATTAGAGTTGCCAATTCTTCCCTAAAAAGATGTGAATCGGCTTTACAAAAAAAATTGACAATAGCAATAGTAATAGTCTATTAGGATTTTAAACAAATAAAATATTATTAAATTATTTTTCCTTGCCGTCATTTTTTTTTCACACTCTGTATATTATTATTATCAAAAGTGTATAATTAGAGATTAATTGAAAATATGAACATTTAAAAATAAAAAAGAAACCATATTTCTCATTACTTCATTACTTACCACTAATATTGCATTAAGTAGCAGGAATAGTAGAATTGGATAATTGTAAATAGAGGGGCGGGATTTTTTTTAATATTTTCTTGTAACGGGGGTTTGTGTTGTTTGATTGTGACCAATTGAATTAATAATGTCAAATTGATTTCCTCGTACAAATATCAAATCTTTTGCCAATTAATAATTACCAAAACTATGGATAGTGCCAACAACAACATTAGTTTCAATACAATCAACTTCCAAATAAATAAGATGAACTTTTTGGGATATTTTCATTGAATAAAATATCTTGGTGAAGTATATTGTTTTCCTTATTAATAACCTACTTGTAAAAACTACTCTTCATTGATAGTTATCATTGTTTCAATAGCATTAATTTTAGTCGCGCATAGAAAGGGCGATGACGGCTGCTGGTTACTGGTTTTTATCCAAAAGGTTTTTTAATCTAGTCGTCAAATGTATGTATATAAGTAATTCCACTAAGCCAAAATAATATTCACTAATCAAACTTACCGAGTTTTTATCAGAAGAAAGATTCCCCTTTCTCCCGGTTAGCTGTGGTAAAATATACATCATTTTTCGTTTTACACATTAAATATAAATAATAATAAATAAAAAAATCCCACGAACAATGTATTATATCGTGTAACACTAAACAGGTTGAATCACTGTTTTTTTACTTATTACAAATAGAGAGTCTCTAAAAATTACATAAATCAATAATAATAAATACTATATTAATGTTAGTCGAATTTTCTTTTAAAAAATATATTATAAAAACGAGAAGTTGGCGTGTAACTTTTACTAATTATTTTTCCTATTTAAATTCTTGTCTATCTGGATCATTACCTCGTAACCCTGAGAATAGAATGATCTGTATTTGTTTGTTTATATATATGTATAATAAAAAATAATAAAATAATAATAATAAGTGAAAAAAAATAAATAAATATTTTTTTCCATTAAATGTATTAGAAAATTTTTTGGCAAAAGAAAAATAACATTAATTATATATAAAAAAATGTCTCATACACCTCGCGAATTAAGAACACCAACACCTTATGATTTTAGTAAGTCTTGCTGCTTGTATAAATTAAAACCATTTTATACGCTTTAATTATTTAATTGGTTACATCTCAATAGGTTCTAACCAAAGTGATGATGATGATTCAGAAATTGATGAATTAGCACCTCTTACCTCCACAAGAAATGGTAAATCATCTGAAATTTTATATTTATTTATGTAATTAATCTAAATATCCATATATTATTATTCATCAATTAAAATTTTCAATTAATCAATGCCTTTTTTTCTTTTTTAAAATCATCTTCCTCATCGTCATCCAAATAATAGATCCCAAGTCAAATTTTTCATGGGCAACATTTAGAACTAGACTCAGATATTATGTACCAGTATTTAGTTGGATGCCAAGCTATTCATTGAATACTTTTTGGGGTGATTTTTTTGCAAGCTTGACTGTTACAGCAATTTTACTACCTTCATGTTTATCATTTTCTGTGTTGGCGAAATTGCCTCCAGTACATGGGCTATATAGTATTGTGATTCCAGGAGTCATCTACTCATTTCTTGGTACTTCAAGGTGTGAATTATAATTAATATTTGCGTTTATTTTGATTTATTCATTCATTTACCCATTTATTCATTTTTAAATATCCCTAGACAATTGGTTATCGGACCAGAAGCTCTAGTGGCAATGCTTGTGGGGTCGTCAGTAGCACAACAACAAAAGTATTTAGGCAAAGTAGATGATGAAAGTGTTGCAATAATGATAGCATCATTGATAACATTTTTTGTTGGAATTCTGACATTTATTCTTGGAATTGTTAGATTGGGATTTATAGATTCGGTGTTATCACGTGCTCTTTTGAGAGG